CCCCAAAACCCCAAAACCCCATCGATCAATGTAATTAAACAATCAGATATATAAATCAATCATTAATTCAATTTTGGCGTTCATATAATTATTTTAAGTCACAATAGAATTATCTTAACTCCCTCTCACCCATACCATCAGCACCTTTAGGAATCCACTAAAATAGCAGTTCACTAATATCATCAATGCTATATTATAGCCCAAGACCTTTAAGATATGTCTAGAAATCAACATAAGATATAATTTAGCCTTAGTGTAGCTCAAAACTACCAAAGAACTCATTTTCATTAATTTAATTTTCATAGAATACCTTCCTAGATATTGTCGCTAGAAATAGATCCTATTAGAATTACTAGTCTTATTAACTTATCTTTTTAAAGTCTTAAGCCTCATTGTAAATAATAGAGTCTAAAATCGAAGAATCTTCAGTGATTTTTTATTCTTGAGCTTCATTATCTTGCTTCATTCTAGACTATAAATTCTCCTTCTAATAACTCTTTGGACATCTAATATTGGATTTTTAATCAGAACTATAGTTGTGCTGATTATTGGGTGATGTGAAATTATTGATCTTTGACTAGGGCTAATTTCTTGGTGAGATAAATATTGGCTAGATTTATGGCTTGAGTTCTTTAGCTATAGCGAAGAATTCTAAATAATAAAATTTATCTTGATTTTGGCATTATTATTAGCCAAGACTATCATCATTATCTTCTTCTACAGAAAAGAAGTTAAGGATTGTTTGTACTTATTTCTAATCTAGCATTACTCCTTTTTATTATAAAATCTCAGTAAGAATCTCTGTAGACACAGTTCCGTCAAAATCTGGATCTTTTTTTTGGAAATCTACTGATTTTAACTGCATTTGGTTGACAACTTATGATATAAATTTCAACAAGAATGCTGATATATTTTGGCCCTTTTTATCTCTCAAATAATTTATCTTATCATCAAATTAGGAGGGAAAAGTTATGCCTTCCTATATCTAATTTTCAGTTTAATTCACAAATATTTCCTTAAACAATTATCTACCTAGTGTATTGATGTATTACTCTCTTGCTTTGTCCATTTTATGATATTTATGATTTAAAATTAAATTTAACAGAAAATCAGTATTCAAATTAATTATTTATAATCGATTCAATCACATATATAAACTTTTATTCAATAAATGAGCATATTCGCTGCACCTGGAGTTTCTCCTGCATTTGATGCTTGTAAATTAATATCATCCATTTTAGATTTCATATTTTAAAATTTAGTCTTGCTAAATGCTAACAGTTGATTCAGCTATTTATCATAGCCTTAGTTTACGATTGTTCTAATGTGCTCACTTATTGGATCTTTTGCTTATATCTTATTTGTTATTATAGGAATCAATTATGACTGGATATTCTTTACTTCTGGGAACTAAGTTTGAAACATGGCTTTTTATGTGTTATACTAATTCATATGAGATTTGGCTCTAGAGCTCTAAGCATTTATTTATTTATGTGCTCTGGAAATTGTTGATTTAAGATCCTGAGAAAATAATTCCTCTCTATGACTATTTGTGAGATTTCTAATACTTTCGGTTAGGTTAATAATCCTTGGCCCAGATTGTGTGAATTATGAGTCGAAATCATAAGACGACTGATTTAGAATAATAGATGATTCCTCATTTATTTTATCAATAATCGTTTGATTTAGCTTAAGCCGATTTCCTTCTGCTTATCTTGAAGTATTATCAATTGAATGATTAATTAAGCCTATTTAATTTCTTGAGTTCATGATACTCTATGTTTCCATAAATCTTTTTTGACTATTAAACCTAGATTCCTAGATCTTCAGTTACTCTTTTTCCAGATATTTTTTTATATAAGGATATCTCAGTGATTGTTGATGCAGAAATTTATCGTCTTAATTAAATTTTCTTGCTTTGTTGTTTTCATTGTAGAGATTATTTTAGCCTATTCTACTTTTTTTGCTCATCTCTTATTCGGTGTCCATTTATTTCCCTTCAAATATTTATTTGTTTCTAAAACGAGTCAATTAATTGCTTATCTTTTCCATTATGGTAAACTATGGGCTAATTTCTTTAAGAAAACTATCAGGATTAGCTATAATTTAATCCTCAATGTCTTCGATACTTTAGTCTCGCAAATTCTGCTATTGTTTGTCTTTAACCATTTATGTCAAGACCTCTATTTCGTGATTAAGTGGGGTTTTTCTAAACATCCTTCTCTCAATATTTTTAGTCATAAAAGCTTTAAGAGCAAGATTATGATCAATGTCCTTAACTCCGAACTGATAATTGAACCTCATAGAGTCAAGCTTAGTTCTACTAGCCAATATCGAATTTTACTTATTAGCATCGACATATTTAGTTATGATGTGCTTTTTGAAAGGACTTTAACTTACTGATTCCTCCAATATTCTTGTATTTATCATTTCCGAAAGCACAAGCATGCTAGGCTCCTTGAATTTTACTGTATAATTATGCAGTGGTTTACGTATTTTTCACTTCAAACTCTGGAGGTCAATTGCAGCTGGATAGTTTTTGTGAAATTATAAATTTTCTTCTAAGGACTAGTTTTATTTCTTTTTTACGTTTGGATTTCTACTACTCATATTTACATAATCAATTTAATTCAATCTTTTTACATTTATTGCTGCTTAAGGGGTTTTGGGGTTTTGGGGTTTTGGGG